TTTCACCACGGAATTGCAGTTATAATTTCTTTGTCAGCTGTCTCTAGATCACTTTACCTTCAAAACTAAAGTGCCATATAAAAACATTAAATTGGATGGTTTAATTAAAAAGTTTTTTTTTAATAAAGAAACATATCCAGTATTTCTGAGATCTCATTTACTGTACCTCAGTTTTATTGTTCAAGTAGATTAGTGTCATAGGCTTGCAATATTTAATATTCAGTCTTTAACATTAATCTCTAAAAGCTTAGCTGGTGAAAAATCTGCAACTGCTGAAAAGGTACAATGTCTACCAAAAGCAGTACAGGTTTATGTTTTATAATTATTCAACAAAACAGTGGCAATTCTTATGTACAAACACCAAACAAGTGGTACTGTGGTGAAATATTGTATGCTCTTTATAGTCAGTAAATGATAATAGCAGGATCAAAATCAATCAGGAGATTGTTCCTTGTGGAGTTGAGTGATATTTATGCATGTTTAGAATTATGGATATATAATCCCATAATATCACTAAATCACTGTTGTCCATCCAGATATCCGTAAATACAGTACCCTATAACATCTTGTACATACTATGTCTACAGTCACAATGTATATTAACATTCATTTATCCAATTTATTTTATATGTTAATAGTATAAAATTGTTGAATGAATATTGAATAACCTTTTATAAATAACATTTATACCAGCCATGGTTAGTGTTTATATAGTATTTTATATATTCAACTACTTTACAAATATTAACTAATTAATACAACACACCCCAGAGAGGGTGAGACAGAAATATTATCCACCCTGTTTTACAGATCAGAAACAAACAAAAAAAGATTAAGTGGCTTGCCCAAAACCACACGGCAAGTCATAACCCAGGTCTCCTGATTTACGATTCTTTTCTTAATCCACTAGGCCATACTACCTCTCAGTGAATATGTATAAATAAATGTTAGAATAAATTATATGAGTGATTTATGGATTCAGTAGTTAAATTATTTTATTTTAAATATTTTATCATTTATTGTAGTCTTGCTCCTTGAGTTGCTTTATGGTATGGCATAATTATACTCCTCTTCATTTATGAAAGAACAACCCGTACAGTAGTGTTGAAGTACAGAGAGTTCAGAGGAAAGCAGGGAGAAAGATTCCTGTGATGGCCCAACATCAGGCTCAAACTGCTAACTATTTCATGCAAGTAGTCCCATTGGCTTCAATCAAGATTATGATATGGGAATACAACATCAGCACATTTATTTTAAAATAATAAAATTCTTTGCAGTTCTACAGCACCTTTCTTTTAAAACTATAACTTGTTTCCAAAAAGAACTGGATAAGTTCATGGAGGATAGGTCCATCAATGGCAACCCCATTCTCTGAGTGCCCCTCGCCTCTGTTTACTTTGCCAAAAGCTAGGAGTGGACAATAGGAGATGGATCTCTCAATGATTGCCTGTTCTTTTCATTCCCTCTGAAGCACCTGGCACCAGCCACTGTTGGAAGACAGGATACTGGGCTAGATGGACCATTGGTCTGACCCAGTATGGCCACTCTTATGTTCCTATGTTCTCATTTGAGGATCTCCAAGAGCTTTACAAATATTAATTAATTAAACCCTTTTAGGGAGGGGAAATTAATATCCCATTTTACAAATGTGGAAAATGAGGGCACAGTAAAGTCAAGCAACTATACCAGGGTGTTGCTTCAAAACTTTGGCAAAGGCAGGGAGGAAAAACTAAAACTATTAATACTCACTCCTGTGCTTTAGCCACTGAGCACCTTTCCCCTCTCTCCTTTATTCTGATAATTCTTGTATGCTCCTTGAATCATATGTTTGATAAATGTTCATCTGCTCTAGGAGTCTTATCAGAGCATATATTCACTGATGTAGTAATTGTTGAGATTATGTGAGAACTATATTTGTATTTATTTTCTCTTTATTTGTACATTGCACATATATAGGCATTAGATCAATTTTCCTTTCCAATTTCTCTTTGTAGCTAAATTAATTTTATATTTTCTGATATAACACTGATTTATTAAAAGTACAAAATAACACAAAAACTGTTAATACCTACTTTTATTGGTATCAGTGAGACTGTATGTAAAAATAGAGAAATGCTTGTTGTTCATCAACATTCATTGAAAAAATAGGGTGTTTGTGGAGCAATGAAAGTTTTATATTTCACTAAAGCAGACATGATTTTTCTGTGGGACTGCCCAGAACAAGGAAGCCTGTGTTTCCCTGTGCTGGTTTTTGTATCCCAGGAATCTGTCCAGAATCTGGAAGGAAGCAGTTAGTGAGACAGGGCTGTAAATCTGCAGCAGGACTGGGGATTGTTAATGTAGGTTATTTCAGTCTGTTAATTTAATACATACATACACACACATGTATTTATTACATGATTTTTTTTAAAGAATCATGTTGCATATTATGTGATTCTCAGTAAGTCAATATGGGAGCGGGTGCAGGATTAAGAGACTTGTTTTTTTTAATGTTTCATATAATTGAGGGTTTTCTTACTACTACTAGCTGCTAGTTGACATGGATATAAGGTTCTTTCATATTTACCATCTTCTAGTTGGCAATTCATTCAGAATTTCCAATTGATTGATTTTAACTGCAAATTATTGTTATAAATTGGATCTACAAATTGCTTTTGCTAATTTGAACTGCTTACTTGTGGTAATGGGGATTTGTTTCTTAGATTTGGGGGAGATGCTTTGGGGCTAGAGTAAAGTTCAGTCTTTTTGAGGAGATTTTTAATCTTGACAATAGTTAGGAAGTAACATTAAAACAAATTCCACCCACCCATCTCAACGGATGGGAAACTTGATAGGGCTGGTGGTGACTAAGGCTTGGTCTACACTTACCCCCCAAGTCGAAGTAAGGTACGCAAATTCAGGTACGTGAATAACGTAGCTGAATTCGACATACCTTACTTCGAACTTACCGCGGTTCAGACGCGGTCCACACGCGGCAGGCAGGCTCCCCGTCGACTCCGCGGTACTCCTCTCGTTGAGCTGGAGTACCGCAGTCGACGGGGATCACTTCCTGGTTCGATTTATCGCGTCCAGACCAGACGCGATAAATCGAACTCGGAACTTCGATCCCCAGCCGCCGAACTAGCGCGGCAGTGTAGACCAGCCCTGAGACAGCTCCAGATGATGGGAGGAGGAGAATACATGCTGGGGAGATGCAGGGGTATTCTCTCTTCCTCCTGAATCTCTAGCTAATCATTGACCAGCTGTGGGAGAAAGGGAGCAGATTGGCTCCTCTCCTTTTGTTAGTTTAAACCCTAATCCTGGCCATGTGGAGTCTCTCTTTGCTCTGTTTCAGCAACCGTTCTCCCTCAGCATCCTGGAGGTGCAGTTAAGTTAAATAGGAATAAAGATTTAGTAATTTGTGGTAGTAGCGTTAGTTCGTCGCAACTTGTGGTCAGTTTCCAGTGTGGTTTAAATAATTCCCAAAAGTAAAAGACCTAGGATTTTTTCACTTGGGCCTTGTGCTCATGGATTATGGGGAAACCTTGATCTTCACAAGATGAGGTCCCCCTTTAATACCCTCTGTCCCACTTGTGAGATTGGGGGTGAGGGTGGTAAGTCTCAGATGAGTGAGTTGAGTCCTGGGATAGGCAGACGAGAAGCTATCCTGAATTATGGATTATATGATAGGAGCCCTATAACCCCCACACTGGAACCACTTAAAGTGCCTGGTGTGTGAGAGTATGTGTGACAGGAAGGATAGGGCTCCTTCCCTACATTAAGTTTAATGAAGTTGTGGGCTGCTGCTTAAAATCCATTCCTGTGTCTGTTCTCATTTGCCACTGTGCCCAGATCAACATTATTGTAATAGAAGTTTGGTTGATATCTTGGGTTACAACACACTCATGCACACCTATACATACCCACCCTCCCTCCCTCCTTCCATTCAATGCTTTAGATTAAACTACAGCGTATGGTATTGACATTACTTTGTGTATGTAGTCCAGTTATAGTTCTCCACAATGTTCTTCCATGATTTTAAGTCCAACGTGTAGAGGATAATATATAATTTATTAAGGCTCAAATCACGAGCCTAATACCCAGCCTGAGTAGATGGGCTGGATGCTGGACATATACTGGGGGCAAGGAGTGGAGCGCAGTTGTCCCTGAATTGAGAAGCAAGCACAGAGCTGCCTTGCAGAAGCTACTTAAGCCTGCAGGCTGCAGGAGCCTCCATGGGGTTTATCTTCCCAGTGGTGGGAAGATAAGAGAATCTGCATAGTAGCAGATCCTCCTAGCTCCTTGCGGATCTCCTACTCCCTTTGCACTACTATGTTAAAAAACTCATTAGAACAGGGCTTCATGCTGAGTAGGCAGTGTGCCAGACTTACCAACAGTCCCATTCCTACCACTGCAGTGGAATTTCACCTGTTTCTCAGGAAAGGCACCCTCCACCATCGTGGGAGATGGAGTGCAATTAACCCTTAGGACAAACCAATATTATGAGAAATGGGCCCAAATCTCAAAACCTGAGATTCAAACTCCCAAACTTTGGAAGAGACTAGATCCAGTTCTGAACTTTGCAGCTTGGACCCCTTTCTTTTATTTGTTACTTACCATCTGTATCACACTCCTCACAACGGATACACTTATGCGAAAACAAAAATGATTTTTCCAACTTTAAATTTCAACAGATGTTTAAGAATGTTGTTTAGTGTTACTAACGGAGGCTATCAAATAGGATTAAGTGGCATGTGGTTGTTGTTTTTTTGCCACCTCTGAACATTCGTCTCTTCTTCTTACACATAACCTATGTGGCTGCTGTCTTCTCAATTTTAATTCACATACATGCAACTGGAAGCATGTTTTTCCCTTCAGGTGATAACTGTATTAATATAATAGCAGATAATTGGGAACATAAGATACAACAAATATAAAGATAATTTACTACTGGATTGTTTATCAGTAGCATAAATAGGCAATATTTCATAACTTTTACAAGATTGTTTTTTCTTCATTAGGACGAACGTACAATGATCTAAACCAATACCCTGTATTTCCATGGGTGTTAACGAACTACGAATCAGAGGAATTGGACCTGACCTTACCAGGCAACTTCAGGGATCTTTCAAAGGTAATTTTCAACCATTTATGTTAAAGAAATCTAGCCAAACTTCTTAATGAAATAGAATATTTTAAATTTTTGTTACTAAATAGGTGGAATTAATAAGTTCGGCAGGAAAAGATAATTATTTTATGAAGGCTCATGGGAGGAGGGATAGCTCAGTGGTTTGAGCATTGGCCTGCTAAACCCAGGGTTGTGAGTTCAATCCTTGAGGGGGCCATTTAGGGATCTGAGGCAAAAATCTGTCTGGGGATTGGTCCTACTTTGAGTAGGGGGTTGGACTAGATGACCTTCTGAGGTTCCTTCCAACCCTGATATTCTATGAATCTATAAGTTATTTTGATATTTTTTCTTATGGAAGGTTGTTATTGTTTTGTTATATCAAATAAATGTTAAATGGGAACTTATTTTTAAGGTGTCTGATGTATTTTATGAGCGCAGTGGCAAAACTAGTTTGAGACATATTAAACCTCTGTAAATATAAAAAGGAAGGTTTCCATAGCTCCTGAAATCATTAGTTTTCAGCCTTATGGACTTGTGTAAAAATTCAAATATAGATTTAGGAAAGCAAGCATAAAGTCCTCAACATGCCCTGTTAAAGACAACATTGGCACTTGTGTCAGAACCATTTTTGCGCTTGTGTTATTTTAGGTTCAGGTTTATAAAGATAGATTTCCTTACCTCGGATGCCATTACACGGCACGCTAAAAGAGTAAATGACAAAATAATTTCATAAGTAGAAGGTGATTTCTATGGCACATAATTTGTCCTTTTAGGATGTCACCTAGATAAGACTTTTCTGTTTTAGACTGAATCTTTATATTATGATGTTTTTATGTCCTTTATTGATTGGCTACAGGAGGGTAGCTGTGTGTATTCCTAGATATCAAGATCTCATCCAAATAGTTGTAAACAAAAGATATTTTATTAGCAATTTTACAAAATGAGAGAAAGATAAATAGAAATAAACATATCTTGACACATGTAGTTAACTTTTAAATATTTATTTCATTTCCATGAATCTCTGAATTTCCTTGATACAGAGGGGATTGGAAACATAAATGCTAGAAGGACTTTCCTTGCAGTACCTTTAGAAGCCAGAAGTACTGTAATCTTGTTGGGAAGCCTGCTCTCATGACACGTCTAGACTAATTTTGCACTTGGCATGTATGGATAGTACTTGGATAGATAAAGCAGCTGGAGGGACTGATTTGATGGTAAACCTGCATATAATCCCATTTTTTCTTAAAAAACCATAAATACCTAAATTAAATTAAAAAAAGGCCAGATCTAAACAAACTGGTTGCAGGGCACTCTGCTCTTTCACAATATTATTTAAAATTTTCCAAAGAAATTTTTTGCAAGTATATAATGAGATTGTAATTTATATCAAGAGTGACAACAAAATCTACAATAGTAGGATATCAGCATTGATAGTACCAGTATGTCAAGTCATTCCCAAGAAAGTGAAAATAGTTTTTCATTTTTCAATATTGTTTATGATAATGATAAAACATATGAATAAGAGTCTTCATCTCTTCAAAATCTCTCAGATTTCCTTTTTTAATATTTGCAGCAGCATGCAGCAGTTTGCATAGTACAATGCACTGAGATTACTCCAGAGTATGGTTTCATGAGATTTTTTTAAACAATTTAGGTCTGATTGAGTCCATATTTGGATGGGATCTCATCAAGGAACATAGGTGTTACCGGGAGTAGCTTACTGATTTAGTAGGTTCATTTTTCTTTCTGAGTCAGTAGTGACTTGTCAGTGAATTAGCATTTTTTTGTGGTATAAGGGAGTGCTGTGTTGTTCTTTTAGAGGAGATTCAAAAGCAAGTCCCTGACTACTTGTGTTCATATTAAAGAATCTTTTCCCACTTTTCACAATAATACTTTACCCCAGAATCCTATACTGCCCAAATTGGATAATTATATCCTATTAATCTAAAATTACCCTATAGTTCAAACTGGAAAAGTTCAGAGTGCTCAGCAGTTCCTCTGTTGAAATCCATTGTATATAGTGTTGCTGAAGCAGAATAGCTGCTGCATTGCAACCAAGATGTGGGGTGTAATCAGTGGTGGAAAAGCCATCCCTATATGTAATCTGCAAACCACTTGGGGTTCTTATGGATAAAAGGAAAGTAATTATAAGATTTCATTAACACATTATTCTGGTGGCGCCTAGTAGCAACTAAATAGGTTGCATTTCAAAATGGTCTTAAAATGGAGCATAGATTTTTATTTTTCTGTGAAGGTAGTTGACTAGCCAATGTGAAATTTCACACATGGTTCGTTTTTGTACCTTTTGAATATTCTGTGTAGTTTTTGTCTCGTTACTCTTCAAACATTTTCAGTAGGAAGTCTGTCATTGGACTGTGGCTGAAATTTTTTCTTGGCAATCCTACTTTCATTGTCTGTCTCCACAAAATTTGGTAGAGAGGTGGATCCTGAGTAGGTCTAGTGCAATGGGTAGGGTTTAAAAAAATTGAGTTGCTAATTTTTAGTCATTATTCACATTACAGCTGAAAGGTTATGTGCTATGCACAGAGGTCAGATTGATGGGGAGCTGGGCACATGTTAAATCTTCTCCATCAGGAGTTATCCCTTTCTGTCAGATTTTAATCTACAATGAAGAAGTGTTCCTGCACTGCTGCTGGCACATTAGGACTTCCTGCATAGCCACTGATGGATAAAATCTTCTCTGGTAGCAGCTGCACTTCTACCTTCTCACAGGTCTGCCCTCAACCCCGTTGCCCAAGTCCCCATCCTTTTAAAAAAAAAAACCTGTAGGAAATTAATACCCTAAAATTTTCTTCCACAAGCCGTTACGGTTGCTACACACTTAACATACCTGTCACAAACCCACAAAAGCAAGGAAATAAAAATTCAGCTACCTTACATTTCCATATCTTTGTTGCTTTGAGTCAGGTATGTTATATAATATTAATGTTTTATATTTTGTGGAAAATAATTTTTATATGGGTAATTTGCTCACCATATAAGTGACAAGTATAAATAGTATTATAGTAAGTCATGTTTGTTTTTACATTTATTTAGTACCATAGTTATATATTTACATTTCCATAAAACGAAATAATTTTGAGCTTACATTATATGCCAGTGTTTCCATTCTGTATTGTTCAGGTTGCTGTATTGCACCTATCATTATAGTATCTTCGTACGTTTAAAGAACTGCTTGTCCAGTCACAAACAATTAAATTTAAATACTATTTTAAAAATAGGCACATTCTCTTTGTTCATAGCATTTTGTCAAATTTTCTATGCCTTGTTTTTTTTCCCCTTATATGCTTAATTGGAGATTTATAAAAAAGGGCATGGGGGCAATCAAGGTGCTGTAGCTGTAAGATATATTGGACCCCTCATTTGATTAGACAGTGTAAGCTCAAGTTTTATTCATTACATATACAAGGTTAAAGGTTATATTTATTGTTTGACAGGATGAAAAGCTAATGAAAGAGGCTGTCATAGATACATAGATTATCTTTTCACTACCAAACCATCAGGTGATCTGTTTCTTTTCTCATTTATTGAGATTTCCCATGCAAAAATACCAGTGGCAGTGAGTATTCACATGAGAAATGTGTGTTCAGGTCATATTGTACACTGAATTTCTTTAAGGATAGCACTTAGAATTTAATGTGATCTGTTTGTGTAAAATTATATGACGTTTATTCCTAAATTACAGTGAGTGCATGAGTTTGACAAGCTACATTGTCCCTGCTCATTAAAGTGTAAATGGGAATTTTTCCTCATTTACTTCCAGTCATGCATCCTGTTAAATAAAATGGTTTCTTCTTAAGGCAAAGTCCTACTAATATTGACATGTGTATGAGCCATCACACGCCCATTCATTGAATGGAAAAAATTATATTTTGTTAATGCGGAAGGTGTTTGACTGACAGATAATGATAAGCATAACCACTTTCCCATATTATTGTGCCACTTTAAGAAAAGGAAGTGATAATGCCTCAAGGCTTCTAAATGTAATAATTCAAATGAACGCACCCAAGTGTGAGTATTTCAAGGCAAACCACTCTTAATACTGCCAAATGTCTGTATACTATGTAATGGAGTTTATGTGGTTAGCAAAAGCCTTTCTAACCAGACCTAAGCTGCGCAAATTTCTTCATTTTATTTTTAACTTTGCCCTTTTCCACATGTAAATATACCACCAACAGGGAAATGAGTTAAATTTCAGTCTTGTATAAGCCATAAAATTAACCATTTACCTTTCTTACTTTAAAAATTAATGTATTGAACAAAACTCCTATACTTCAGAATCTGAATGAGTTGTTTATGCTGAAAGAAAAAAGTATTTATTAATCTACTAGCCATAAAACAGCTTATATTTTTGGGTAAATTTAAAGTAGTTTTTAGCATTTAAGTTCTTCAATTAAGTTTTAAAATTTTCTACCTTCAAGTGTTGTTTACATCAATTAAAAAAAATCAACTGGTTTAGACTGAGCCAAATTAAATCTACACATGGTATTATTTCCTTGGCAATCAAATACCACATTGTTGCATGCATTAGAACTACAGATAAATAAATAACATAGATACTGTGTAGGTCAGGACCATATAACAGCAATATTTTAGTGACCAAACCAATAGGAGGATAAATTTGGCACTACTGTACTGAGGAATGTACTTCTATAAATACCACATGAGTTAGCATAACATGTCCAATGGATAAAAGCATTAAATTTATCAGCAATACACTGGTTGAAAGACTGGAAACCAAAAGAGATTATTCAATTATCCAGGTAACATGCCATGGAGCAAATAGCAGCAATTTTCTGATATTAAACCAAATACTCACTTTGTTTTTAATGGAAAAAATTCAGCACAAATTGTGTTGACTAAAATAGGTTGTAACAACCAGCTTTTTGTGCAGTATAGTACATTAAAAGTAAAATGGTTGGACATTAGTTGGCTATAGTATCTTTTATTTTACAAACTTGCAGAGATAAGATTTTGGCTGTAGTAAAATAGTGGATTACTTTGTTGGTAGATTTTAGAAACACATCATGTAGAGTGAATAATTAGATATTATTTGATCTGACTCTATGCAGAAGAGGTTTTTAAACATAGAAAGTTAAAGAAATATGAAGACGCTCTTTTTATAAAACAAAGGAAACTATATATTTAAATGAAATGGCCATTTTGTAACAATTTCTATAATAATTTTTTTCACATGAAGTGTCAGAACAATGAATTAGCCTCGAGTAAATTAGACTGCTAGACTAGGCATGCATCTAAGGTTCTAGACTGGGACTCAGGATATTTGGGTTCCCAGCTTTGCCTTACACTTCCTTTGGGAAAGTCATTTAATCCCTTTGTGCCTCAGTGACCTGTATGTGAAATGGAGATACTACTTCCCTAACTCACTGGGATGCTGTTACTGATAAATTGATTAAATGTTGTGAGATGCTCAGATGGCATGATAATGGGGGCTGTATAGATACTCTTTGTGAAATCTGGGGTAGGGACAATGCGTAGGAAGTTACTGATCCCATTCACTTCCTCTCTTGTGCGGTGAGGGGAGATCCATGTCTGGAGGACCTCACCACATATGCAGCTATGGTGTGTAATCTCTCTCTGCATGCCTATTAGACATGTTGGGGGGGGGGAATCTAAGGATGGAAGTGATATTAAATCATATTTTTGTTGTTTCATTAAGTGTTCTGCAGATTCATCTGAAAATTTTAGCTTGTGTTAGCAAAATTAAGAGACTTTCTTCAAGAGAAAATTTGTTTAAATAAATGGCAGATTTCTAACCTGGAGCAAATTCCAAGATGATTCTGAACTGTACCCTTTGCACAGATCATCTAGACTAGTAACTATCCCGTTCTTACACTCAGCAAGCATTAGAACTTCTCAAGGGTAGTTTTCACAGCAGTGCTAACATCCCCAAAGAGGGAAATAATGAGAGGGATATGGTCAGGGCCATGTCCTTGCTGTGCCTTCTCCACTGGTCAGCAGAGATGGCCTAGTGAGAGTGAGAAGCTTATGCTACACTCATTCGAAAGATATAGGAGTGCTTGGCCACATTCCCCAGAGCTCATGGAGGCATTGTCAATACACAAAGTCAACTGTCAAGGTTCTTTTATGACCCCCATTACGGCATAATCTGTACACTTCCCAAGTATATATGGACTTATCTTTGCACCACCAACTGAGGTAGGGAAGTACTATCCCCATTTTACAGATGGAGAACTGAGGCAAAGAAAAAGACCAAGTGACTCATCCATAGCCATACAAGAAGTCTGTGATGCAGTAGGAAATTGAATATGGGTCTTCAGAGTACCAGGCTAGTTCTCCAACTACTGACCCATCCTTCCATCATGCAGTCTGTGACCTATAAAGGGTAGAGAGTGAGAGTCAAGTTGACACCTTCCACATGGAAGCAAACCCCATCTCTCTCCCTCCATCCTTTGTTCCCTCTCTGGGACAAGGGATTCCTCATGGAGATTTCTACATGAGAAGTTCTCTTCCATGGTTTTTCATGCAGGAAGTGACAATCGGGTTTTGCCTAAATTATCCATTTTATTCAGCAAACACATTATGTGTGATTCAGATCCTCCCAATCCAATGAATCCTAAGGTAATTGAAAGAAAACTGAATTCTAAGTCTGAAAAGAATATTGACGAGAATAAGTGTAGTCTTCAGAACACAGCTTTTTAATTTAATGAAGTAGATTGAATATGCATCTTCTAGAAGCAGTAGCTTGTCTCTTTATGACATGAAAATAATAGTGTATAACCTTATAGCTAATATGAGACTGCTAAATTGAAATATCACTTCTTCAGCCTAAAAGACCGCAGAAGCACAGTGGTGTTTGCATCAATGTTTTCTATGATGCTTGGAAATCATATTGACAGCTGCTTGGAGAAATGGAAGCATCAGTACATTTTACATTAAATGTGACAAAAACATAGAAGCTCACATCAAAAATATATCTTTGAAATATAGGTGTAAATCTCCATTAAAGAGAATAATAGCATCTTGCTAGTGTATAACTGTTTCCATTAAAATATTTCAAAATAGTTTTCAAGCATCATTTAAGTCTCACAAAAGTCCTTGTGTTTATACCCATTTTGCAGATGGAGAAATTGAGGCAAAAGAGGTTGTGATTCATTTGGTGAAGGCTATGCAACAGCAAATCAGTTGAAAATATAGGATTAGAACTCTAGAGCTTTGATTCCCAACCTACTCTAACCATTAGACACATTCACTCCCAACTAGGCCATCTTGCACATATTTATAATAAAACCTTGATATGTCACATCTTTGTCATTTGAAGCTCCCAATATTTGCCAGTGCTGTTACAGTGGATTAAGAACTCTCACTGGCTTTTACATTGTGGAAGATACAAAATCCTGTCACACTAACTCATTCTGTATTTGCTTCTCAGAAGGAATGAGCATTGATTGTTAACAAGCATCATCAACTATACCCTTGCAATTGAAAATAAAGCTTTTAAAATTTTCAAATAGCCATAGGGATTTGGGAAGTGAACCCTAACTGGCAGCAGTGAGATTGCTCCTAGTCAGCACCTTTTTATTTCATTCACCCTTTTGCAGAATTCACTTAATCACAAAGTGACCCCGGACATTAGTGAGAATTAGTAAAGTTCTGTGGTGACTGGAAGTGTATTTTTATAGTATGTCAAATCAATAGGAAAAGAAAATAGTCATTTAGTAAGTTACTCTTTCTAGAAATTAATTGTTTAAGCAAAGATTTTTGCAAATTATATACTGTAACAATGTCTGAGCATTTTCTTTAGACACGAGCTAAACTGTAAAAGACTGAAGAGATTGAATAACTGATGACACATGAGTAAAATCAAAATGTAAATATTTATTTTATTCTTTTTTCAGTAGTTGAGAAGACGCCTGGAAGAGATTAGGGAATGGGTCATGCTTCTCTTTCAAGAATGTTATGTGAGGCCTTGCAGTGCAATCTGTATCAGATAAGGCTGATCCTTAGGGATTACTCAGACATTTTACACATATGAGAAAGCTATTAGCATACCCATGACACAGCAAAGTATTAAGCACTCAGAATGTTTAGGGTAAACCAAAATGCTGGTACAGCATTGACTCGAAGTATAATTATTCACAGAATTGAACAATATTAACTATCTTTGAAGTTAGTTACACTATGTAAATTGTGAAACAAATGTGCTCTACTTCAGTCTTATTAACACGCAGACATTTCAAAAGACCCGGGAAATTCAGAACCAGTAAATACTTAATTAAAACTCTGCTAGTAATAGCTTTTAGTGATATACATAACATAATGATGATGGCATTCGTACTGGTTTGATAGTCTACTCTTTCCAAATGTAAGATGACTTTAAACTAACCATGAAAAATATGCTCCAGAATGAAATTTGAAGCACACATTTTTCATTTTTCCAATGGCCAGACCAATTTTCTATAAAAGATACAAGTGTAATAATAAAGTAAAATAAGTTTGAGGTTATAGCTTTGATATAAAATATTGGATATTGAGTATATATTGAAATGTGCTGATTAGTTCAAAATAATGTTGAACAACTTCTAGTATTTTGAGAAAAATATTACAAAATCCATGAGTAAATACTTATGTTCAAGTTGTAAATCGCTGATTAATAGGGGTTTATTATAAAAACATCAAAACTCTTAATTATTTGTATCATTGTAATGTACATGAAGTAGTTTTTTGGGATTCTAATAAATAAAAATGTCAATATGTTTTGGAACTATTCATCCTAGTGTGTAGTAATGTGTGTTCCTCTGAACGTGAAACCACATTTTATTAATTTTAATACTAAAATTTAATCCTTGACGGTTCTTAGCAGATTACTATTGCTTTTGTTGTTACAGTTAATACTTTAGATAAATAATTTAGTAACATCTTATCTGAAAAATACATATTTAAGATCACTTTACATGTATTATCTCACAGTTTGATATATATTCCGTCCCAATGTATTTTCTTTATCCCAGTACCTTTCTGTATTTTCCCACAGTAGCCACATAATATAGACAGGCAGCCATAACAAGTATATTTTACAAAGGATTATGACAGAAATTAAAACTCACAAAGTATTCATATTTCTTTTAAGTAAGAAGATTGTTGGTTTCTCTCTGTGAAACCTGGTTCTGTTCAGAGTGTAGCTGCTGTCTTGCAGGACTATGAATGTTTTCAAGTATTTCTGTTTAGGATCACCAAACACCACCCACCAGTTCTGTGTGAAATCTTTTCATCATGAAATGTGCATTACAAAGTATCCCGTGTGAGCAAAAGTCACTTTTCATTAGCTGTATCATTATGGTGAATGACAATAACAGAAATATTAGTTTGGTCTTAATGCATTTTAAATGCCATTTAAAAGTGTATTTCCAGAATAATGTTACTGCATTAATTGGGAAACAACTCTGACTTCAAGAAAGTCTTTGAAACTTTGCAGATGTGGATCACATATATTTGTCAATTAATAAAAGGAAAAGAAAAGAAAAGTTATGAGAGTTTTAGTAGATCCAGCCTTTGAAATAAAATTCCAAATCCATCTCAGTAATCTAAATGGATTAGCACAATGTGGAATAAGTTATCTGCACTTGGCTGCTGAATTTCATATACAGTGAATCTTAGCTAATGTATGCAGAATAAAAGTGACACACTGATCCAAAGCATACTACCCTTCATCTGTTATAATTATTCATCTTTTCATCTCTTTGCAGCCCATTGGTGCTTTGAACCCAAAGAGAGCAGTTTTCTATGCCGAGCGCTATGAGACTTGGGAAGATGATCAGACTCCACCTTATCACTACAACACCCATTATTCAACATCTACTTCTACGCTGTCCTGGCTTGTTCGTATTGTAAGTAGTTTTTTGGATCCTGCTTTTCATTTAATATGTTTACTTGTGTTTCTTTCTCTAGTATATATGTACCGGTACCTATATTTAAAGTTATATAAATAAATTCCAATCAGATCCTCCCGATGAATGTCTAGTCATGTAAAAGCCTCACAAATTTTCCATCTGCACTCTGTCTGCTAATCCCTAGCCACTGGGGTGGGGGTAGCGTCCTCCTGCCCTAAGAATCAGATGCATGCTTAGAACTTGAAGTGTGGAGGGAACTAGGACAAATAACTAACTCAATAAAGAAAAGTCAACTCAAAGAAAAGTTCCTAAACAGTAAAAAGCGACAGAGAGTCCTGTGGCACCTTATAGACTAACAGACGTATTGGAGCATAAGCTTTTGTGGGTGAATACCCACTTCGTCAGATGCATGTAACAATAAAAGACGTTCAACCCACTCAAGCTACCCTCTCAGTTTAATAACTTAGGTACTGGTGGGCTTTGCAACATGTCAGGAAGTTTAAAAAATAAAGTAAACAAAAAATACCCAACAACAATAAACACCTTAGGCTTTGTCAGACCAGTGGGGGAATTGTCTGGGTACACCGCAAGAAGGACAGGAGAAACTTGTTATGGATTTTAATCAGGCTGCAACTTTATTATATAGATGTCTGGGACTACCCGACAGATAAAGTGTATAGTGCAGGCAAATCCATGCTTATTCAAATCAATTCTCCAGGGCTTCCGCCAGCCCCCCTTTGTTTCCATCCAGGTCCCCCAGTTGACCCATGGCTTGGACCTTACCATCCACCACCCTCGTAAGAGGGTTAAGGTAGGCTATGAGAACGGGGTGGGGGAAGGTTGGCTTCCTGCCGTACCAATCAGAGGAGTCCTAAACCCCTCCCCCGTTCTGTTCCTTTATCCAGTACCTCCTTTTAAGTCCTTTAACAGGCCATTTATCTGGTCACTGGCTTCCTTCCCTATGGAGTACCTGCACTGGACATCTGCCACAAGGAGGTGCCAGCAATTTGCTTCGCTGCCTCCTCCCCAAACCCAGCCGGGTTCCCAGACATCTCCAAATGGCCTCTTGCCTAGCAGCCCTACTGGGGAGAAAGAACCCATTGTCCCATGTGTGATCGTCAAGGAGCACCAGCAGCTGCATTGTCCTTGACCCAGTACTGCAACAACCGCCCTCCATGGAGGGCCGTATAAGTGAACAAAGAGACTTGCCCAACCCAGGTTTCGTACCTTTATGCCCTCCGGACCTCACATTCCTGCGGCGGGAAGAGGGGGTCATTGCTGCAAAGCTGACTACTGAGCACATTTTCTACAGCAGTTTCTGACCTCCTTCCTCCCTCCCCCACCCCCCCTATAAAGCAGAGCTGTCCTTCCCGGGTAAGCCCCAGACAATCTCTGCCCCACCTTAACTGTGGTGCAGTCATTATAGAACTCAAGTTTTATACTAAAACAGACATAAAATTATGGGCCACTGAAATTGAAGGTTTATTCTCATTGACAGAAAAATAAAATTTATGTTTCCAAATGAATCAAAAACAAGTGTATATTTTTGGATATTTTGAAATGTGCACAGCACATTAGGGTACTGAAATGTTCTTTCATTTCTGGAAACCTGGCATTAAATAAATTAAATAAATCTTTATAAATGGATCAAGCAATGGGCCCAAACTGCAAAGTTTGGATCCAGCCTGAACACTAGAGCAATGAGGCGTAGACATAGAAATATGGATTAAAGGCTTCAACTTCATTGAATTACTATAAAATTAAATTATTATAGAACAGGGTGCCAAAGGTTGCCAATCCCTGTTATAGAATTACTGAACTTGAGTTAAAACAGCACTCCATCCCAACAAAAACAGATTGTGTAGAATGTATCAGAAATGAGACGCTGCCACTCCTGTGTCACAGCCAGCCAATGGGACCTGACATGGAAAGCCAGACTCCTCCCCTCTTTCCTTGAAGGAAATTGGAGACTTGAGTTAAGAGGTGCTTCAAGATGCACAAACATGGAAGACTGCATATATCCGCCATTCCATGCCAATGCCCAGAACAATGATTGGTTATTCCACAGTTGGAAGGTTCCCAAAATGACCTTGCTACCCTGCAATCTTCACTAGAAACTAGCCACAATTTGCATTAATCAGTACTCTAATTGAACCAGCGAGGCCTCTTTTGTGTCAAGAAGAAGTTGAAAACACCCACAAAACATTTTGCCAGTTCTGCCTTGTGGGAAAAACTCTTGAAGGCCTGAAAAAAGTGATTAGTTGAGCCCTTGACATCCCAGGAGATCCAGTGAATCTATCTGAAGGAAGGAAAGAGTGGAGCAACTTAAGGGCATCAGAAGCTGGCAGCTCAAATCCAGGAAGCTCCCTAAATGGTCCAAAATGGGGTGGTGGGAACAAATCAGTCAGGGACCATGGCCCAAAGTTTGTCCCATCCCAGACACTACTGCGATATGTACCCTATCTCCCTCGCCACCCAACACAAATACCAGGCACCACCCAAATCCAAGCAGCAGAGTGAGGGGAGGAGGGGAACAGGATGAGGATGCTTCCCTGACCCAAAGACCTGCCTAAGCCAAAGGGGTGCCTTTATTGCTCCTGCCACCATCAAAATCCAACCCTGCTGACTAGGGTGTGCATTTCCCATATTGGCAATGATAGGGTGTTCAGATTTGTGGTTATAGGACTCATCTCTGCTTAGGTTACGAGTGAAAATATTTATCATCTTTCCTCTAATGCCTGTTTCTCCAGGTTTCAGCTTTGGAAGTAGTGTCAATTAATGATTTGACTGGAGAATTGGATAAAAGTTTGTTGAAATTTGCAGATGACACTAAAGTGTTTTGATTAATAAAAAATGTGAAGGAGTGTGCAAAATTCCAGAGAGGCATAAATGCTGTGGGAGATTGGGCAGCACAACAGCAAATGAAGTTCAAATTGGATAAATGCAATGAAATGCACTTTGGCAAAAATACTCTAAACTTTCTATTATATATACTTACGGGCCATGAACTTGCTAGATCCCCTAAGGAAAAAGATTTAGATATCATTGGGGATCACTCAATGAAGCTCTGTATCCAATGTTCATTAGCAGTTAATAAAGCAAATAGAATGCTCAGTGGATAGAAAAGGGAACAGTGAAATTCCATTGGATAATGGTATGCTACTTTCAGGAGCCATGGTCTAGTTTTGGTCCTCTGGCCCTAAGAAAATGCTACAGTAAGTAAAATGTTGAAGGGCAGCAGAAAAAGAGATATGGCAAAATTAAAATATGGTAGCTTTAAAACTGGGATTTTCTAGTTTAGAAAGGAGAAGAATTGTGTTCCAAATTACAAAGGCGATAGTAAAAAAAAAACAAACAAAAAAAAAACACTGGCCTTCCTTTTTCCCTGGCTAATGAGTTACTCAATGAAATTAATAGCTGGCAAATTTAGAACAAATAAATGCTATTTGACATAGCACATAATTAGCCTGTGAGATTAAATGCCCTTCTAATTGAAAGAAACTTTAACTGGATTTTTTTAAAGGGTTGGATAATTTTATGAGTATAATGTGTAGTTATGTAAACGAAAGTAATCAAATTCTGTGACTTGAGATAATTTTCTGAAGGGGTCAGGAAATATATCCCCTCCCCGCTTTCACCCTGTATACAGTACAGCACAGTTGACTTGATGCAATCTGGGGAAGTTACACCTTCTTCTGAAACTTTGGATGCTGCATTGACCTCTTTGTCATAATCAGGACATCGGATGTGATCAACCAATGTTCATAAGCTGTGTAGTCAATTTTATATGATCTCCAAACCATCACATGACTTTGCCTGTTTGGCAGCCTCTGTTCAAATGAGAGTGGATTGTTGCATGTTGAGACTGAGGTGCATTGGCAGAGCTGCCTGAGAAACTTGCACTGGCCTGTCTGCTCTACGTACTGTTTTAATCAATGCAGTTACCCACACTCAGTCATAAACAACCAACGCACACATACTGTTCTATTTAAAAACAAACACCCACTTCCTTGTGCCATTTTAGCAGTAAATTATTAATTGATTTTAGAACTTTTAATATACACTCTTGTCACACAATCTCAGTCCACAGAGGAAAAAAACCTAAAAGCTATACTTTCTCCTTGTACTTCTACTTTTTCTAAATATTATCATTTTTGTGCTGGAGGGAGTTAAGATGGGAGTAACTAATACATTTATATGAAGTGATCAGAAAATAATGGTATTTTTATTTTATATTTTTTTCATTTGCTTGTGATGACAGGGTTTCCTGAACATTTTTCATACTTCATTTATCATTATAATCAAGAGTAGCCCTAGGCATAGGCTAAGTAGTCAGGTACTTAAGGCAATATGTCTGGGGAAGAAACACTATGTCTGGGGAAGAAACACTAGAATAGTGCTCAGGCTGCACTGGCCATTGCAGTTGGGCCAGCTCCAACATACTTTTTTCTGGTGGTGGTCTATTCCACCAACTCCCTTCTAAAAGGTGTTATCCCGGTTTCTGCTTAGTCATGAGCAATGAGTGTCCGCCTCTCATATGCCCAAGAATCTTTAGCATTCTGGAGTGTGTTCAAGAACTTTAAGAGTACTTCTTACACATGACTGATCAGAAGCTGAGATATTGTTCTGAGAAGGAAATGAAGACAGAGGACCTTGTAAGTTTCTGAGTGAGCTGGTGGGAAAAGGAAGACAGGGAGCAATTAGTAGGGAAAATCTATCTTTGCTTAGGGTAAAGCAATTTACCTGAGGCCAGTCTTGAGTGTTATTTTACCAAATAACCTCTTTAATATATCTTAAATTAAAATCCTAATATATATTAGATCAAAGAGTTCATCTCACTACAAATTCAGGGTATAGTTCTCCCAAACCCCAGGGAAAGAACTTGTTGGCTGTTAAACTGCTATATTTGATGATCGCTATATTTTTCTTAAATGTTGCTAAATTATTCATGTACTGTGAATATATTTTGTGATTCACATATGGTTTCTGTACACTGT